TAACATCACTATGACATTTTCCACTTTCCTCCATCCTTACTCTGGGGAGGGGCATATTTTGAGGTGGTCTCTGTAGCACTGTGAATCAAAATCCACCACAGTTTGGCTCCGGGACAAGATTGACTGTACTAGGTAAGGAAAAGGTATTAAGCTATTAAATACAGGGCATCCAATGAAGTACTTTTGACAAGAGTAAATGAGAGACTGGGTGTGTAGATTTGTTGTGAGTAGAGTCTAGAGGAAAGGTTTGTGGTGTGGGATACAGATATGAATTCCAGAAATATGCGGTCTGCAGGCTGGACGGGACCTGAAGGGTCAGAATGTGCTATTCCTGTGCTATCCAAGACCTGTCTATTCAGAAGGACAGGCACACATGGATAGATAGACAGGTAGACAGATAGATTCGCTATGTATTATCTCATGTAAGAGTCCTTTGCTGAGTCTCTTTGTATATTCCAGACCCCCTTGGCCAATTGACAGACTCCCTATGGGCTCTTAATCATATACCTGAGGGTAGGAGATTCTGAAACCTCTTTATAGCACTGTGCAAATACACAGCAGTACTTTGGTGATGGCACCAAGCTGACCGTGCTCGGTAAGTTTTCTCCAGGCCGTTGTGTTTCCTATGCCAAAGAGGTTCCTTTAGTTAGGGGACTTCAGAGTAGGGTCAATTGAAAGCTTCAGGAGGCAGGATTAAATGAATGTACTTGCTTGGCTAAAAGGCAGCTTAGGGAGAGCATGAGAACCATTCACAAAGGTGCAGAGAGGCAAAAGAGCCCCTGTCCTCAGGCAGGCTGCCAGGGCTGGGACAAAACCTGAGAGAATGGACTGTAAGGAAGAGAGGAGCTCTTCTCTGTCTCTTACTCCTCTAATCTGAATCCAACATGCACATCCCAAGACATTGGCAAACATTAGACAGGATGACTTTTTGCCAGAGTAGATTCAGGACTTGAGGAAGGGGGGGGGAAAGAATACAACTGTACAAAAAGAGTACAAGAAACAGCAGCCTCCTGGGAGAAGGGTATGTGTTTGCAGGTAGTGGTTCTATCACTGTGTTCATACTCTGAAGCGTACTTCGGCAAGGGCACCAAACTCACCGTGCTAGGTAAGAGAAATATATGTCATGGACCCCTGGGTGAGTAGACTGCAGGTTGCCACTTGGAAAGGGTTACGCCAATTTTGAGGGTTCGGGCAGGAGGGTCCTGATGTCTCTCCTGGCACCTGTATACTCTGCAATGGATCAGGATTCAGGGATAGATGGGCACAGAAAGACGAGACGTTTTTCTCTCATTGACTGATACTTCCCCAATCACATCAAAGCATTTCAAATAGCAGAAAATATATAATACTGTGTGAACTAATGTAGTTAATGGTCTCATTTCACCTATAGCTTTCACATAGCCTCAAGCTATGGAACAGGCTACCTAGAAAAGTTGTGAAATCTCCATACTTAGAAATGTTCAAAAGCTGGTTAGGCAGACATTTGGCTGGGATGGTTTAGTCAGGGGTGAGCCTGCCTTGAACAGCGGGCTGAACTAGATGATCCTGTGGGGACCCTTCTAGCCCTGCTCTCCTATCATCCTAAGCTTTACAGGGGCATCTAACAGAAAGAGAAGCAATATTGTCTGGATAACCATGCCTCCCTCCTACTCTGCTCTTCAAAAAATGCCCCAAGAGGCTTCAGTCTTGTCCTGGAAAGCCCTGGCAAAGTTTGTTAGAAGGGAACTCAGTTTAATGTCTCCTCCCAAGCAGTTTAATGTGCCTTCCAAAGGAGTATCCTCCCTTCTTCCCAGTGTCATCACAGCCATTTGACTGCTGCCCGGGGGTTTTAGCAGCAAGCAAATCGGCTGTGTTAACAATCAACCGCTGAATTTTGGAGAGGGGACCAGGCTGACTGTCTTAGGTAAGGAAATGCATCTTACAAGGTATCTGTGAGCCAAATAAAGGGAAATTTTGAATTCTTGCTCTGGAAAAATTTGCCTCTACATACTGAATGTTAACCTCGTAATTTTAGCTCTAATCTCCCTGGCTAACTTTGGCCACCAGTTACGCTGACTTCAGTGAGTGGTCGGAAGAGAGCCATCCTTAGTTATTCATGTTCCCAAGACAGGCTTAGAAGTAAACAGAGAATTGGTGAGCAAAGAAACAGCAGAGGAGAAACTGGACTATGGCAGAGGCAGAGACATATGGGGAGAATGTGAGTGTGGAAGTTGTTTGAGGAAGGGATGAGAGAAAAGAAAAGGGTTTTTGCTAGGTGTATGCCTCCTTGCACTAAATATAATGAATCTGGAGGTTACAGATTAATCCAGGCATGAGGCACTGCTCTGGCCTAGGCAGTCATCAGTTCAGTAGCTGAGGACTGGAGTGTCTGAAGAAGGACATCAGGAGATCAAGTCATGTCCCCCGGCTGAAAGATTGCTCAAGTTGTGGCAGAGACTTGGTCAGTCTGAAAATCCCTCCAAGAGGATAATATAGATGACAAGGGATTATCTGCAGACTTGGAAACAAAGAACAAGAGGTCATAGCATGAGCAGATGGAGGGAAAGTCTTAGAGAAGGGATTAGGGATAGGTCTATGCCTTTTGGGACATAGCAGGGGGACAGCTGCCTGCTGGCACAAGCCAGTGAGCTGCTTATGCTCTGAGAGCACAATCGGGACCACTCTCCTTGTGTGAGGGCTCCTATACACAGCACTTACAGGGACTCTGCAACTCAGTGGGAGCAGAGGAATGAGGCTCCCGTGAGCTTTTCCTCTAGGGGCAGCCTCTGCCTTTGGGAGCTCTTCCTTTTGGCTATAGGGGTTTCACACTGTGTTCTAACACTTCACCACTGAATTTTGGACAAGGGACACGACTGATTGTGTTAGGTGAGTGGATACAGTCAGCCAAACTAGGGGCACCTAGCTATCAGGAAGCAGAATGTTAGGATGCAAAAGAGCAGCCAGGGCATCTTAGCAGTCAGATCTGCTAGGTGCTGGAATAAGAGGTGTGGGGTGGGATCCAGCCCAAGGAAAGAAATGCCGCTGATCAGGACAATTAAAACCAGCCCCATGCACACACAGAATACATGCAGTTCCCATTGGGAGGACAGACAGGCCACTGATCCTTGTCTACCACCATTCTTTGTGGTCAGGAGCAGTAAGAAGGAAGGAGTGGGGGGAGGACTGGAATGGGAAGATGGTCACACATAGTCTATGGTTCTAGATATCCATTGGTGTACCCAGCACCCCAAACAGGCAGGTCACCCCATTGCCAGAGGTCAGAATGGCTCCTCCAGGGGATGGGGAGTCACTGGGAGATGAGGGAAGGGACAGGTTGTACGGATAATAGAGAGGAGGGAGAGCACATCTCTTCCACTGTGGCATCTGCCTCCTCTTGAGAAGGCTTTGTGTATGAGGGAACCAGGTTGTGTACAACTTCTATACCATACTTCGGAGAAGGAACAAGGCTCACTGTTTTGGGTAAGAGATATCAGCTCAGTGGCTCATGCTGAGCCAGCACTTACAGGTTGGCAAATATACTGAGAAGGTCTTGAGGGAGAGAGAGGGGGAGATGATGATGAGGGGTTGAAAAAGGAATAAACTAACTAACCATATCATGACGACTGGGCACGCCTTGGGTACAGCTAACTGATGGGTTAACTTGAGTAGCTCTTCCTTGCCATGTTGTTGATAAGATTACTGATACTGAGATCAGGAAGGAAGGATGGAAGGAAGGCAGGTAGGCAGAAAGGGAGCCTGAGTGAATGGGTCTAATCCCTTGTGATGAATGGAAGAATTTAGGAAGACCTCACATCTAATAAGAGAAGGAAAGGGGAAGCTCTTGGGTACTAGAATAACAGCCAGCATTTTGGATGGTGGTGTTCATCTGGTAGACTCCCTGGTAACCATGTTCCATGCTCATGCAGTGTCCTGTCTGGACTCCTCTAGAAATGACCCCCGTGTCCAACTAGGCCTCCACAGTTAGACTACACCTACGCAGGGGCTATGCGGCATCCAGAACTCACATGTCTCTGTGTCCCATTAATATCTAAAGGGTCATGTGTGTCAGAAAAAGAGGTAAGAAGAGGGCTGAGGTGGGACATGGACATACATAAAGAATAAAGCTGCGCAGGGAGCTGGATGCATGATGAAAAAGAATGGATTAGGAGTGTAATGAGGGTGGGGAGTGGTGCAGAAGATGCTCACAGGATAAGCATCAAGTCCTGGGATGTTTGATAATGCTGGAACCTAAAGGCAGGAGTCAGGAGTGAGCTGCTTGACTGAAGGTAGGATGATGTGGAGTCATCTGAAATCTGAGATCTGACCCAAGTCACCGTTAGGAAGTAGATGCAGGTAATTAATCTTCTAAATCCTGCTCAGACATGTACAGACAGACAGTTAGATAGCTAAATAAAAGCATAGATAGATGGAGAATGGATGGATGTACATTAATTTTTCCTCAGTACACTGTTGCTTGCTGCTCTAGAAGAGGCCAGCATTGTAAGGGTTAACAATAGGCTGTGTTGGGAAGTGGCCCAGTGTGGCAATGTGCAGTTCTGGCACTACAATGCACAGCTGTGCTCCACAGACATCCAGTATTTTGGGACAGGAACTCGACTGACCGTTCTGGGTGAGTGAAAGACCTAACTTTCATAACAGGGTGGGAGTGTCTCAGTTAGGATGTGTATGTGAAGGTCAGAATACTTGCAGGATGAATAGGAGGAAACTAAATAATGAGGGAAGCCTGTGGGGTTGGCAGTGGAGTGTGGAATGGGGATTGTTTCATTGTTTGAGTTATATAAAACTAGAAAAGGTTCCAGCCAGAGGAATCCTGTACTGCTTCAAAGGCAAAAGACCCAGCTGCTACATAGTAAAGACTTCACCCAGATCCACTGAAAGGGCTCTGCCCTGACCAGCTCTTCAGGCCTGCAGGGTGGTTTTGTGCGGTTTGGGCAGAGCAGAGGGGAGAGACAGACAGGAGAGCTAGTTTTGGAGTAGCTCTCAGAGGCTGTGTTCTGGAGCAAGCACCCAATACTTTGGTGAAGGGACACGGCTGACCGTCTTGGGTGAGTAAGGGGGAAAGAAAAAAAGAAATGGGATAAAGAGTCTGGGATAGAAAAGCAAACTTATGGTGACAGCTATCTCAGTTTGCTTCTGGATGAATTGATCTCAAGCGGGGTTCACAGGGTGGTGAGTGAGGAGATGACAGAAGATGAGACAGAGAGGGAAAAGGAGATGAACACTTAATAAGGAAAAGTAAAGGAGTGGGGAGGAGCCCTGTTGCCAGGAGAGGGGTCATTGGTACTAGGGAGAAAACGCTGTGCTCTGGTTATGGTGCACAGCTATACTTTGGAGACGGGACCCAACTCACAGTTCTAGGTAAGGGAAAACAGAAATTTCATTTTATGGTCGGGTCAATAGCCTAACTAGGGGCAGATACAGGCTCACCCACCCCAGATACAGCCTTAGAGGGGGCATGAGAATGGTGGCCCCTGGGGAGCTCTCACTGCAGGGTCATCAAACATGCTGGGAGCCAGGGATGCGGTGGCAGGGGAGGGGTGTATTCTGTGCAGCAGCAGCAGCATCCCTGAGCCCCTACAGAGTTGGATGTTGCAACCATGGTACACGACTCTGCACTGCAGCAGCAGGGGTCTTTTGAGTCTCTGGAAGTGATAAGACTTGCTTGAAACCCCAACCCTTCTCTGCACAACATTCCCCCTCCATTTGGCCCAGGGTGTGGAAATAGATAGTTACGCCTCTGGGTCAGATGTCTTAGCAGACACTCAGTATCTATGCATTTCCCCCGAACAGCAAAAGCCAACAAAAAACTTTTTTTTTTCCTTGGGGAGGCAGGATTCATGAAAGGAAAGTGAAAAAAAAAACCAAGGTAAAATTCTGAATCAAAGGCAAAATTAACATTGATTTTTAAAAGTGTCTGGATTCCACCCCCTTATGTTTGTTTCTGGCTGATCAATGTGATTAGGAAGATAATTCTCTTCTGAATGTCCCCAACCTGCCTGGGACAGGTCCAGCTGTGCATATTCAAGAAGAGCATGCTGGATTCCTAAGAAAGAAAGAAAGAAAAAAAAACCAGACATGAATGTAAATACCAAGGAGGGAGAGGATTAATCAATTTGCCCTGTGGAGTCCTGAGGGGAGATAAAGGGAACAGAATTCAATTAAAGGGAAAACATTCATATGGTGACTCAAGGAAACATTTCCTAGTGCAGAGAGCCTTCAAACTGCCTCCCAATGGAAATCAATTCATGGAAACCCCGTAGCTCAAGAAGTACGTACAGCAAGGCATAACCTTGCACTGCTTAGGCAGAGAAAGTAAAACACAAGTAATCAAACAATTTTTTTCTCCATTAATTCTGTGCACATGCAGACAGCCAGAATGTATTTATTTGCAGAGACAGCCTGAGAAGCCCTCATCATAGGGAAGTGTCTAGTATTCAGCCTTGTTTCTTATGTTCTCCATTCTATTTCACACATTCCTGGTTACATTATACACCGGTGGAATTCACATAATCCTGCTGTTATGCCAAGTAGAAGAGACCCTGAGATGGATGAGTGGCTGGGCTAACTAAAAAGTGGGAAATCTTCACTGTGAATAATTTTGAATGAAGCAATTTTTGTTTCACACCAATTCACAGAAGTTTGGGGCTGGAAGGGTTCCTTCTAATGTGGTTCCAGAAATATTCTGGGTTTTTCCAATGAAATTAGTAGTGAAAAAAATTCAGTCAGCCAAATTATAGGTTTATTCTAAACCACATGCACACATACACACACAAATGCTCAAGTACTCATAGCATGTATTCAATTAATAATGTAGTTGAGGAATAGGATTACAAAAATCTGTGTTAATATCCTTTATATAGAATATTTTTATCCATAGATCTCAAAGCTCTTTATGAGTGTGGGTGGACTGGACATCATGACTTGCATTTTATTCAGCTGGAGACAGACACACACAAGTTAAATGGCTCATCCAAGGTCTCATTCAGCATCAGTGGCAGAGTGAGGAACAGAACCTGTCACTCAACTTGCTAAGCTCTTGACTATGTTTTTTATCTTAGTTGAGCTCTTTTGCATGAGGCCCACAGAGCCTAATTCATTGTCACACGCTACTTCTTCCATCCTTGTGCAAATATCAGTCTCTTGAAGAAATAATATGAGTGAAAGAAGAAATAAGTTCAGTTCTTTCAGAAATGGCAGGACAGACAGGAAAAAACAAAGGCCCTAGAAACAAAAGTTTAGGAGAACCCTATACACAAAAGCTGCTGAGAGTCAGAAGGGGCTGGACTCAGGAACAGATTTGCCTGGTGAAGGAAGCGCAGTTGCCCACTGCAGAGTCAAGGACAACTTAGGACTACAAGTGATGAAGACAATAAGCCCTGTGAAATGGGGAGCAGGGTCAAAGTGCAGAATCCAAGGGCCAGATTCCATTCCACTTATTAGGTGCTTAAGTGGATTTGGGCACCTAAGTGTAATTCTAATCCACCCTGCTAGAGGCCCTGAAAAATACTTAATGCAAAAAAAGAGTGAGTCGTCCTCCTCTTCATTCATCTTTTATGACTTAGTCTTAAGGGTAAGATGATGTTATGTTACAAGATTAGATGCATTTAGGGATTTTCAGCTACTTAAGCTGAATATAATAGAATCATCTATTCCACACCTAAGTCCAGTAGCTGCCTCATATGCCTTTCATGGCCAAATGGGCTTGTACAACATGGATTCTTCCTGATTCCTTGAAGAGACTCTGCAGGTCTAGTCCTGTGGCCCCTGTTTAGGCAAATTGTCATTGACTTCAGTCAGACTTTGGCCTGAGTAAGAAGTATAAGAGCCTTAGGCTATATGGGCAGCAGAGGCAGTTTTACTACATCTCTGTGGCTCTGTGCTCTTCATATGAGCAGCATTTTGGGACAGGAACTAAGCTGACTGTCTTAGGTAAGGAAAGGTGATCTATAGGGTGTGTTTTCTTACTCTTGGGCTCCAAACTTCTTTGGGGTATTTGGTGGGAGGGGGTTGGGAAGTCTTGCTGCACTCTATTTTTTTTCTTTCCCCCTTTTTCAAACTGGGAGTAAAAGCAGGGGTTTTGCTGAGGGACTGGAAATCAAACTGAGCGAGCATGAAGCTTTACTTTAAAGGCTTCATTCTGAAGTGAAAGAGAATGTACTGCGATACACCAAGTGATGAAAGAAAAATAGGTCTCAGGACAGGACTAGACAGACAAACAGACAGACAAAGAGAAAGTACATTTACCTGGTATTGATATATGCCAAATACTAGACCCAGATTCTGCAGCTAGTGAAAGTCCATGACTTCAGTGGAAGTGGCACCTACAGAGTGACTACAGGTTCAGCTTCTGATCCAAAATATTTAAAAATGTATTATAAATTTACTTCAATGTATAAAATATAATGTAAATGTACTTCTGTTTGGGGTTAAAATATTGGGCCCCATTTGAGGAATCCAAAAGGTAGCACAGAATCTCCATTCATTGATTATTCTGCCACATGGTTTAATTGGTGACTTGGAGGGGGTTTCTGACACAGGGGAGGGCATGGGTGCTTGTGCTAAGCTCTGTGGCCATGCTGCTTTCTGTTCCAGAGGATGGGCTCAATATCACAGAGCCCGAAGTGGCCATCTTTGCCCCATCACAGAAGGAGATCAAAGAGAAGAAAAAGGCTACACTGGTGTGTGTGGCCACAGGCTTCTACCCCGACCACATCAAGGTGACCTGGATAGTCAATGGTGGTGAGAGGACAGAGGGTGTGGGGACAGATGAGCATGCCACCCGGGAAAACCAAACAAAGATGTACTCCCTGACCAGCCGCCTGAGGATCCCCAGCCAGGAGTGGTTCAACCCCAAGAACAATTTCCAGTGTCTTGTCAGCTTCTATGGCAAAGATTCAACACCAAAAATATATCCTAAAGCCATTCAAGGTGTAGCAGGTGAGTCCAAAGCAGGAAATCTGTCAAGGTATTGAGCCTGATCCATATAGCCTTCCCAGCCCTGGATGTAGCAGTAAGACTAGAAAGTTGTTCTCATGCCCAGCACCCCAGGCCTCTAGTACCAGGGTCACTGCTAGCCTGAAAGAAAGAATAGGAACATAGAAATTGGCATACTGGGCTCCTGCAAACCAGAACACATTGCTGCACTTTATGGCCTTTGAGCCATTCTGTGCAACACTCCTAGCCTTCGCCAGCCCTTGGGAAGCTGAGACCAGGCCAAGGAATCCAAACCAGGTCTCCTCCAAACAGGAAGATAGAGATGTAGCCCTCCTCCCCACACCCACAGATAGTTGTGGGAGCTGGGAGTTCTCTATTAGTGGGACAGATGTCTGGACTCAGGTACTAATTGTCACTCTTCTTCTTCTGCTTTCAGGTTGCAGTGTCACTGAAGGTCAGTTAAAAAAAACCCTTTTCTCTTTTTAAGTTCATGCTGTCATGAAACATGGATTTATATATGTGTGTGCAGGCAGCCTCATATGTATGTTGGATATATAGAAGTATTTCTGTGCTTGTGTATCCAATGTGGCAACATGCATGTGGGGGCATGCACAGGCATGCAGATGTGCATGTGTATAAGTGTGTATGCAGGGGCATATGTGTGTACACATGTTTATTGGTGCACAGAGGTATGTGTGTGTGCCTATGTGGATGTGGTTGTACAAAAGTGAGCATGGGTGGTGTGTGCGCGCTCAGGCCTACACCTACAAAAATCCTTTTACTATGTGCAAATGTTCAGTACTCCAGCTCTCTCTCTGCTAAAACATTACACCCTCAGCAGCAGTGCACCCCTCATCTAGTGGGAAATTCAGTACTGACTCAGAGGGGAGAGCATCTCCCACGGAGGTGTCCACACCCTTCCCTAATGCTTATCAATCCCTTAAAGGAGAGTGCTGGGATTAGTATTGTCTCCGAGGGAATGGTCTCACTCCTTGAGTTACCAGGATGAGGTCTTCACATTCTTAGGTTCTCTTTAGCAGTCTTCAAATCTATTCCAGGTAGGGCCAACTATCTTTACCTTGTGACATCCAGTAGGATTATAACCCTTCTTGGAGATCGAGTCATAGGCAGCCACATAGATCACCACCAGAGTTTATAGATAAGCATTAAAATTTATTCTCCTAAACAGGGCTGGGTAAAGACTCCAAAGAAACCTTCCATTTCCCTGTTGGTTTGGATTTATTGTTTCCTTCCTTGCCTTTCAGAGTTGTACCAGAGAAGTTCCAGAACTGGGTATTTTGTGTACCTGATGCTTTTTTGCAAGAGTATCTTGTATGGGTTGTTTGTGATGGGGCTTATACTACGGAGCAAGGTGAGAGGAATCTTTTTTTCTGTACTCCCTTAGAATCATAGAATCATAGAAAATTAGGGTTGGAATGGACTTTAGGAGGTCATCTAGTCCAACCCCTTGCTTAAAGACCATCCCCAACTAGATCATCTCAGCCAAGGCTTTGTCTAGCTAGGTCTTAAAAACCTCCAAGGATGGAGATTCCACAAACTCTCTTGGTAACCTGTTCCAGTGCTTTACTACCGTCTGAGTGAGAAAGTTGTTTTTTTTCCTAATAGCTATCCTAGACTTCCCTTGCTGTAGCTTGAGACCTTTGCTTCTTGTTCTGTCACCTGCCACAATTGAGAACAGTACAGCTCCATCCTCTGCAGAGCCCCCCTTCAGGTAGTTGAAGACTGCTATTAAATCCCCCGCTTAGTCTTCTCTTCTCTAGACTAAATAAACCCAGTTCCCTCAGCCTCTCCTCATAAGTCACCTGCCTTCTCCCTGAATCATTTTTGTTGCCCTCCACTGGACTCTCCAATTTGTCCACATCCTTTTTGTAGTGGGGGCCCCAAAACTGGGCGCAGTACTCCAGATGTGGCCTCACCAGTGCTGAAGTGCATTCTAGCTCGAAGATGTGGTAGTGGGTTTGGAGGGAACCTGGCTCAGACAAAATAGGGGCCAGCTTCCTCCTTCTCCCCAGAATAAAACATCCACACTTTTTAAAGTGCAAAATGCTTATTTAAAGAGTTTTTCTTTCTCATTTTCTTCATGTATCCCTCCTTCTTGGTATTCAAGCAAGTGCAATGGCCAGAGAGAGGGACAGAGATAGAGAGAAACAGAGAGGAAACACATGACAAAAAGAAGAGGAGTAAAATGTGACACAATATAGAGCCTCCATAGCAATAAGACAGGAGTGAAGGAAACTAGACACTAGAAGAAGAAGTCCAGAGATGAGCCAAGGAGGAAACGAATGACCAGAAAATTAGAAGAGAGTGAGGGCAAGTGATGGAAAAATATGCCTATGAGCAAAAGAAACAGAAAAGGGGCACAGGAGCAGGGGGGGCGGGCAAGGAGAGAGGAAGAAAATAAAGAAGCTTGTTTCTCTAGGGCTGTATTCAGCTGTATGTTCTATCTTATTTTCACAGTGCTTATCAGATATATCTGGGGGCCTTCTGAGTTGATTCTTGTTTTTTCAGTTGCTTGTGAAGTCTCTAGCGTGGCCAAACAGAAGCCATGATGTTTCCATTATGTAGAAATATTTGTAGCCTTAGTAACTAAATGGAAAAAAATACAGGGTGAGGTTTTTCTCATCACATATGTCTCTTTAGTTAACAGGAAACACCTACAAAAAAGCAGCTGTTAATCCCTTCCACCTAGAGCAAGAGCTTGTGGAAGCAGCAATCTGAGATGTTTGAGATAGAAAACATTTAGGTCAGCATTTTAGGTCACAGTTTATCCATTGCCAACCAGTAGAGAGGAGTTGGTCCTTGTCTAGTTTCCAGGATCAATGCATGTCTGCCTTTGATGTTTATACCGTACAAATACAGCAACCATGATTTATCTTTGTACTGGTTTTATGCCAATGTGATTCCACTGACTTAAATAAAGATACCCCTTATTTATACCAATGGAAGGGAAAGAAAAGCCAGTTTCATTCTTTTCTCTTTACATCTGTCTGTCTGTCCTCTCTCACTATCTGTTTATCTACCAAGCATTTACTTACATAATCACCTGACCTAATGCCCCTCTGTAACTATTCCTTTAAATGGATCAGTTTGGCTCTGTGCACCAGACAGGGATAGGGGTTGTGGACTGACAAACTGGGACAGGGAGAGGTTGTGGACTGACAAACTGAGATACAGAAATATGACAATTTCCCCCATCCCATTTCACTGGGTGTTTCACTCTCAACTGTTCACTGCTTGCAGTTCTACAGCTGAGGGCCCAGGACTAATTTGTTCTATCTCCTTTTCTTCCTCAGAAGATGCACTAGAAGCTCACTTTCATAAAGAAGCAGGCCAGAGCCTTCGTACAGGGCTATATAATGGGGAAGATGCACGTACACCAGCCCCACAAGTCCTGTTTGTTTCAGGAACCAGCACAGTGCTTTGGCTTTGGTTCAGATGAATGCTAAGAAACTGCAATTTGAAGATTTCAGTCTGTATTTTCATGCTTCAAAACATTGCTTCTGATAAAAAATGCATGCAATCATATGGGTGTTGTAAGCATTTATGTTTTGTTTTTTAAACAGATGCTGCTGCAAGAAATAAAAATGTCCTTTTCATTTTCATGTCTTTGAAAATGCACTGGATTGGACTGGCCTTGTATGTGAATATGAATGGGTGACAGAAAGGATAAGGGATCTAAAATTACTGACGGCTCCCCCAGGAGTAGGGTGGGCATGCATTTTGAAGGATGCATGCTTAGTATTCTACCCCCAAGCTGTGAGGGCTATGTTGAATGTGACACTTAGCATGTGCTAAATGTACTTAAAACACAAGAATCTGCACATTCCAGGGGGATAACACGTGCTAAGTGCTATCATATTGTAGCAAAATTATGCCTTTTTCAGTAAGGAGTATCTCCAGATTGTATTAAGTAATATGTGCTGAGTTAACATTGGACTGCTTCATGGAGACAATATAATCAATTGCAATCCCAGGGCTGGGACCTACAGCCAGCTGATTGCCAGTCCTAGTCCTGGGACTGCACTGGAGTCTCCAGTCAGCTCTGGTGTAGGGCACTGGAAGGATCCTGTAATGGAAAGAAAACATGCATAACACATACTGTGCACAGGTTGTGCCTGTTATAAGATTGTTGTAAGCATTACCATGCGACTGCTCAGAACACATTCTACTTTTAACATGTTCTAATGTTAAAACGTGGTCCATGCCACACCACCCTGTGATGTCATTTGGTAGCAATTGCGTTGGGTGTCTGAGCACATGGATTCGTTGTAAAAGGGGATCTCTGTACCATGGCATCCTTGTGTTCATTTAGGCGGGTGCGCTACTCTCTGTTTTGCCAGGAGAAACCAAGTTCCTGCTTCACTGGAAGAAATCAATCATCCCTCCCTGCCTAGATGGATCACGCCCGCCACTGTCCTATATTGCCCCCTATTACCTCATCAGTTATTTCAGTGTGAGAAAACCAGGCATCCACCCATAGTAGTATCTTATTGTCCACTGTTGCAGAACAGATGCAATAACTGATTTCATTGAGTTCCCTATTTCTGACAATGGATAATGCCACGTTTCAGAATAGTGCTTTACCCTACATGTCATTCATCCATATCTAAATATCTGTCCCAGTTAGTCTATATAACACCATTGGACTGTGTGGCACTCTGCATAAGAAACAAAAGCCCTTCCTCCAGGACTTTTCACTCAAAGCTTGGCAAATAAGCAACATATTATATGTTATAACAGTAGTCTATGGTGAATGCAGTTGAGAGGCAGCTATGTTGGCTTCCTCCTTTCACCAGATGGCAGCTGAACTGCACAAGTCAGGCAGCATCATTGCTATTATGCGGTGCTGTCAGAAGAGCACCAGGACATTTTGCTCCAAGCTACTTATCTTTTTAGCACAAAATCCTAGAGAGGCAAGGAATCAATAATGATCAGCATGAGCGAGATACTGCTTTAAGATGAGTGCTGGGTTTTCACATGTAGAACAGCTTGTACAATTTGTTCCATTTCATACATTTCTTGGAGTCTGAATGGTAAAGAAACAGGATGTGGAGGACAGATGTGGTGAGGAGCAGTACTGGAAGCTATCAATTAACAGTGCATTTTGCCTGGGGACTAGGGGTAACCTTCCTGGTCATAGCCAGAAAAGCATAAGAGCTGAAGATACCAGAAGCTGATCCTGCAGATACCATAGTGTTAGAGTGATGTTGTAGCTGTCTCCACTCTTTTCTAGATGACTAATATCTAGTGGCAGTAGGTTCCACAGAATAAACTCTAAGTAATTTAGAGGCAGCTCTCTCAGCGCCAAATGATGGAGAAAGGAGGGATAAGTATCTCTAGAACCCCCGAGATGCTGGGAAACTGAAACCGAGATCCAAGCCCTGTAGTTCATGACCCTGTCTAGGCCAGCATTGCTGGAAACAGTCAGGTTCAGGTGGCAGTGCCCACCATGGAAAAGGAAGGGCCTAACTTAAGGAATGCACCTTCCCATTTCTCGTTAATGGTTCAGTAACTGCTACTGAAGGGCTTTGATGCCATCCCAGCTCATGGAATGCACCAAAAAGACTTAAGGGGAAAATGGGCAATTTAAGGTCTACCTGTGTACAAATCTGTTTAGATAGACTCTATTAAAATCATCTTGGACTTCTTCAAGGACTTCAATATTATACAGTGAAATCTACTAAAAAAAAGAAAGCCCCAGAAGATGAATAACAGAGGAAGATGAAGATCAGTACCAAAACATGGCTGCAGAGGTGGGTGAAGGGTGCAGGGCACACACAGGACTGGAAAGCTGGAAGTGCTGTAGTGCAGCATAGAAGGGCACTGGTGGAGTTTCTTGAGGTGGAAGCCCAGAACTGGCATAGAATCATAGAATCACAGAAGTAGGGTCGGAAGGGACCTTGTAGATCTTCAAGTCCGACCCCCTGCCTGGGCAGGAGGGAAACTGGGCTCAAGTGACCCCCTGCAATAAAGTAATTAACGCTGCCGTAAGATAATACTGTTGGGGACAGTACTATCTTACAGCAGGGGAACTAACTGTTATTAAACATATGGGACAATACTGACCACAGGCATAAATTGTGCCTAGTCAGCCCAGCCAGCAGGTGGCCAGACATCTGCCTACTGCCTAGCCAAATGGCTCAGCACTTTCAGCACCTTCATGCCCCAGCCAGCCCCAATGTTGCCTGATGCCACCACTCAGAACCTAGGGCTGATTCATACTTCCTGCCCTAGCATAAACTGCTCTGCCCTGACTCAAATTGCTGCTGTCCCAGGCACCTGTATGGGTGCTTCACCCAGGAAGAGTTTACTCCTACTCAAACTGCTCCAGAGTTTATTATTTTGAATAAGTTGTATGTGTAGATGCACCCTTTTTGACACAGGATACTGGGCAAGATGGACCTGTGCTCTGACCCAGTAAATGGCAATTCTTATGTTCTTGTCATAGAATCATAGAAGTAGGCTCAGAAGGGACCTTGTAGATCTTCAAGTCCGACCCCCTGCCTGGGCAGGAGAAAACTGGGCTCTAATGACCCCAGCCAGGTAGGCATCGAGCCGCTTTTTAAAGACCCCCAGGGTAGGAGCCAGCACCACTTCCCTTGGAAGCTGGTTCTTATAAGTGTGTTGCCAGTTACTACTGCCCAAGTGCAGCACCCTGCACTTGTCAGTATTGAAACGCATCCTGTTTTTGTTAGCCCACCCCTGCAACCTATCCAGGTCTTTCTGCAGTCTTTCCCTCACTACTAGCATGCCCACCTCACCCCAAATTTTGGTATCATCAGCAAATTTGAACAGGTTGCTTTTCACCCCGTCGTCCAAATCTCTGATAAAGAAATTGAACAGTGTGGACCCAAGGACCGAGCCCTGGGGAACTCCGCTGCCCACTTCCCCCTAGGTTGAATATGATCCGTTCTCCACCACCCTCTCAGTATGACCCTTCAGCCAATTTGCAATCCATCTGACTGTGTAGGCATCGATGCCACAGTCGCCTAGTTTTTTAATGAGGATGGGGTGGTCGACAGTGTCAAAGGCCTTGCTGAAGTCCAGGAAGACTACATCCACGGCGACACCTGCATCCAATGCTTTTGTGACCTGATCGTAAAAGGCAATCAGGTTGGTCTGACATGACCTGCCCCTAATGAAACCGTGCTGGTTGCCCTTGAGCATCATCCCCCGATGCCAGCCCATCACAGCAGGAGGAGTGCAGCACAGGAGTGAGGGGCATTGGCACAGCAGTATGGGGAGCTCATGGATGGAACAGATGAGGCAGCATGAGGTCCCAGGACTGGAAAACCCAGAGGTGCTAGGGTTAACATAAAGGTGCACTGATGTAGTTATGATGAGAAGGCCTGGAACTGAAATAGCAGTGGGTGCTGCTAGGGCTAGTTTGTGAAATCTGTCAGAGGCGTGGTATGGCAGTGAACACTGCAGAAAGTTTTCTTAATTGATGTGAGGGATGGAAATTAGGTCACATAATGAACCTCCTCTTCCTACCAACCCTTTACAGAGTGCTTTTAAGAGAAAAGCAGTTGAGTTTTAGGCATAACAGGATGCGGTTTGACATTTGTTTGTGAAACCGTTTCTACAGCTTATCAGCACCTCTTACCACAGAGTCCCCCCACCATGCCTGTGTGAGGCACAGAAAGCCCCCACCCCGCCACCGCACCACTCTGCTGTTAGACAGAAATAGCGGTGCCTGCGAGTCCTCGTGTGGCAGGTGGTTTTGGTAACTCATGTTATCACACTATCTCCTCCTTTCATGGAAGGCTGCAGTAGGTTTGGGCAAGTGCAGCTGTTGCACCCACTTGACAAAGGGGAAGGAGTATGGGGGGGTGGTTGTAGAGTTGTAGGTATTTCAAGGTCAGTGACCTGTTTTTGAGAAGAAGAGAAATGAGTATTTCTGGGTCTCTCCAAATGACAGATATCTGGGAAGGAAATAGAGCTGCTGAGTCTGCACCTACTCCCTCTCAGCTCTCCACAGGGGCCAGAGTTGCATCCCCCTCTTTATATCCCAGGGTTTTGTCTAGTCTCACTTCAAATGACACAAGTAATAGTGCTTTCATCTTCCATTCCCTGGAGAGTGAGACTGCAGTCCCATGGTTCTTCTTCCTGTAAGGAAATGTTGCCTGAGGTTCAGCCTTGTAGCTCAATGTCACTTACTCTGAATATCTGATACAGTGCCATGGATGTGTATGAAGCTTTATAGGAGAAGATGTTTGGCAGATTCTTACCCTGAGGAACTGCAATATAATTAGACAACAGTCATCCAAGGCTGAAAACAAGAAAATATGTAAAACAAATAGAAAGAAGGGCCAGTGCATATTTAGAAAATGTCTGAAGTCTGTTTTAACAGATTTAACACTTTATTAGTGAATGTTAAAAACATAGTTAATTACTTTGCCTTGTAGAGACTAAAGCAAGCATGGTGGTTACATGAAATATAGT